CTTAGGTTATTGTATTATTGTATTATTATCTTGCTGTATCTAAGCCTACTCACATGTTACAGGTTACTAAGAGTAACAGTAAATGCAAATACTGAGAAGATAAAGGAGCCTGTATAAATATTTGCAAAGTTTTCTGAAAGGAATTCCAGGAGTTTCTAATTGATTTATAAAGAATATGGCAGGAAGGCAGCAGAGTACACTGAAAATAGTAGTCTGAGTATTGCAACTGCAATGATTATTTATTTTCATAGTGTTTTTTAGTCAAATAATAAAGCATACATTATAGACCTACAGGCAGAGCTGAAATAATCCATGCAGAAGGTGTCATTGCACAAATCCTTAGGTCCTGAGAAAGTAAAATATCAACTATTGGAGAAAGGTAGTCAAGAACAACAAAAAGCCAACCAATGAACCAGTAACAGCAAAAAAGCCAAACCAAAACTATACAAACCAACTTATATTTAACCCTGAGAAAATCAAGCTAAAGGTGAACAAGAATAAAATTGAAAAGCTATCTAAGAAAATTACTGCTTTCACAGGGCTGGTGCTTTTGGTGATCTAAGGAAATGGGTGAAAGATGGTATAATTAGAGTTAAGAGAGAGAAATCCAACAGGAAGGTGAGGTGCTACACACAACTGCATCACAGGAGGTGCAGGGTTTGTAGGAGGGAGCCCCAAGGTACTCTCATGATTTCATGGAGCTAGCTGTGATGTGGGCCATGGCACAACACTGGGGAAATGTCAGTGTTGACCACGGAGGAGACCAGAAACTTGTTGGGAGAGTGGATTTCTGGAGATGATGGATGGATGGATGGAAGCACTCACAGACATATTTCCCACCATTTTGGACAGGATGGCTCCACACCTGTACATGCACGTAGCAGAGGAACAAAGCCCACACTTTGCATTTCTAGGCCCTGAAATCTTAACAAAGTCAAACCAATACTACACAAGCTGTGAGATCCAGAGCCTGGATGAAGTCATAATCTGGCAACTCAAGGTATTCAACAAAGTATTGCAACACAGTCCTGATGAAGAAAACCAGATAAAAAAATTACTTACACATTGAAGAAAAAGATCACTTGGGGAAAGTTTTCTAGGGAAAAAGATGTCCTTCAGTACACAATCCCATACTTGAGTCTTTTTTCTCCATCCTGCATTTCGGTGGAAATGGGTAATTAAAAATAAAAGTGAAAACATTCCTCCTTTTTTACAGGAAAAACTGGAATGTTTTTGGTTTATATGCAGCTGAAAAGATTCACAGCTGTCTTTTGAGAAACTCCACATTATTTTAATGTCAGTGTTAGCTGTAATGTTTCATCAATGCTCTGTTGCTGCTTCAGCCATGAAGGCTGACACACAACTGATCTGGAAGGAATATAATTTGATTAGGTTCTCTAAGCAGAAAAAGAAATTACTGTAATATATTACTGCTATAGCTGTATATGCCTTTTTGTCAGAAATTTCTTGGAACAGTTACTTTCATTTACCTGATTTTCACTAAAGCTGATTAAAATGTTGAAGGGTTTTTTTGTTAAAAGCATTGTAGCTGAAAAATGGATGCTATTAAGCATTAATTTACCTGAACTTATCTGACTTCTTTGGCATATTTTAGTTTTGAGTAGAAAATTAATGCCTGCAAACCAAGATTTTTAATTTGAATCTTGAAGAATTAATTTTGAAACTTTATGCTAAATATTTGTTAAGTGCTCTGCCTTAATACTTACACCTTAAGTATTAAGGTGTAAAATAAAAATCAGCACAGAGCTTTCAAAAGTAAACCTCAATCTGCTTCTTGAGGTTTTCAGACAGTGTGTTTGCAACTCAATATAACTTTATATATACATATATATATAATATATAATAAATAATATATATTTATAATATATATATATATATATAACTTAATTTTTTTTTTTACACCCCTGTCTTAATATAAGGTGCTGCTGATGCTTTTTGTTAAAGCTGCTTTTGCCTGTGGACTCCACAAGAGGGTAGGAAATCCTTCCTCAATGTTTAGGCTATGACAGAAAAGATTAAAAGAATAAAAGAGAGTTTAACTATTGTGACCACAAGCAGGCACCGCAGAAATACCTGTGAGTTCCTGAGCTGCAAATCATTTGAGGCTAAAAATAGAACATTTTTTTGAATAAAAATCACTGTTTTTCAAGAGAACTCTGAATGTTGCTGTTGGAGGCAGTGCAAGAGGGAGGCTGAGTGCAGATTTCCTGGGTGGGATAGTCTTAACCACATCTAGTTCTCCTGCATGTTCACACTGGGATGGACCAAAATGGAAAAGGACCATGGAAGCTCTCAGACTGGGGGCCTTGTCTAGATGTGGAAGCTTGAACTTCCTCCTGAAACCAGAATTGTCCTTCCTCTGAGGCCAATGTCAACTCCTGCTGGAATCGAGACATCCTAACCCTTCTGGCTGATTTCCTGAGGAATAAGAACACTGTCTGGATTTGATATAGACCAGAATTTGTGCTAAAGCAGTCCACTGTGTAGTGTGGAAAAATAGGTTAATGAATGATAATGTTTTTCAGGAAAAAACCCCAACTCCTCAAAAAAGCCCACCAAAACAAAACAAAAAAAACAACAAAGACACTTCCATTCTCCTGTGTACCAGCAGGTGTGGTCTGCAGAAAAAACAGAAAAAAAAAGAAATCCCTTTTCTTCTGATGCGCTAGGTTTTGTGCCAAGCTGTGGGGTATTTTTTAGCAGCAAGTTTAGCACCAGCATCAAGCTTAACAGCAGGGAGAACAGCATGGCATGCCACAAAGTCGCTCAGGAGCCAAATTACGCCATCTGACAGATCTGCAAGAGCCCTTGGCCAGAAGAACTACTAAAGACCCACTGACAAGTTGCAAGTCATTTATCAAAACTAGAGAAGCTGATACTCATTTAACATCCAGGGCACATATTGAACACACGGAAGGACATGACACACTGAAACCTCACAGACAGGTCAATATCGTTCCCTGAAGATGTGCTGTCTAAGACAAAAGTTGTCACTGTAGGAGATGTAATGCACTGGGTTGACTCTAAATTATTTATGCTGTATGTTAATGAAGTAATTTAATCATTACTTAAATGTCTCCAATTACTTAAATGTCTCCAAATGTGTCACCAGCGAGATATTTAATACTTAGAAGACCCTTCAGAAATATTTAAATATGTATTTTGAGATGTAGACACCTAACATTAATGTAGCACATTCTTGTGCACCTAACAGAAGGGATTTAAACTCTACAAAATAGCTGAGTACTGTGGAAAATACTGCTGGCAGCAAACATTGTGAAGACACTTAAAAAGGATCTCTAGTTGTCTGAGACTAGTTTTACAGATAATTTTTTGTGATCCATCATTTGACTCATGGTCTCACTTCTGGGAGGATATCAGGGACCATATATAATTTGTTAACTTTCAATAAAATCCCATCATGGACTAGTTTTAACACAAAGACAAATCTGGCATGCAAATTTCTCTGAAGAAGCCAGGTTGAGCCTCATGCAGACAATAACTGTCTGCAACACCATCTCTGCTGCAGGGAGCTCAGCTCTCCCTGCCATTGCTAACACACTACAGGCCCTGTGTATCACACCCCAAACACTGTGTATTTCACATGTCTCAGCTCCAAAAGGAGAACCAGAAAGTTCTTGGTGACATCCCAGATGTCACCATGGCAGAGATGTCACCGTGTCACTAAGGTGTTGTGTGAAAGGTGTTGTATGCAAAGGCTGCCCTCTGCCTCCCCAGAGAGCTGGTCCCCAGGAACACACTGCAGGAGCAAAACCAGATTAAGATGAGATTAGGAAAACCTGATTCAACAGCACAGGCTCTGAAAGTCAGAGCTAGGCTGTGTTGGAGATCCAGCTTTCCAGAACTGAGTTACTGGCTGCCATCAACCTGCTGCTCAGTTTTCTTGCTCTCCCTAAGCATCACTCCAGCTGCCCTTGTGTTTAATCCAGGGGCCTCTCTAGGCATGCATGGAGCAACGGTGTGGGACACCATATTATCCACCTTGAAGGTGCCTAAAGATTTTATTGCATCCAACTATGCTCTGTTCCCTGGTCTGGCTGTTCAGCTAGTGACAACTGTGCACAAAGAATGTACTTGTGTCAACTTAAAGACCGTGGGGTTTATGTTTTTATTGGGAAAGGTGAGAGCCTTACACCCCACTTCAGACAAGTCTATGATCTTTCAGAGCCTTGCTGTCTTAAGTGTTACAGGGTTGCCATGAAACTGGAATTCTCCATATCCAAAATAGCAGGTGTTCATGTTATCACAGATCCATTAAAAAGTTTTTAGCAAACAAAACAAGCAGCCATCTCTGGCATGGCATGCTAGTGCAGATGTGATAAGCTAACACGTGGATAAGCATGGTGTAACTGATGTGAATGCTGACAGTGCCTCTTTCTGACTTCAGAGGGAGCTCAGCATGGCAAGGAGCTAAATTAGAGGTTCCAGTTTGATGTGAAGGTTCAGTGAGCTGTCAGTAAGCATATTTTATAACATCTGGAGCCTGACATCTAAACAAAGACCAGACACAAACAGAGATGAGTACAATCCATGCTCTGATTCCTGAGTACTCCTTCCCAAATATGAAGCACAAGGAGGACAAGGGGTGAAATCACGATTCTATTGTTTTCAGGGGAAAAGATCAGCTTCAAGCCAAAATTACACTCCCATTCTATTTGCTTGGGAATAGCAGGAGACTATACATCTGCTAATGCACAAAAAGGGTGTCAAACTTCTCACTGTATGAGCCTGGGATACATTTAGTTTTGGGTTATTAAGAGTGAACCCTAAGAAAGAGTACCTGCATAAGATTAGGTGCAATACTGAGTTTATGTGCTGTATGTAAATAATTTCAGAAATTAAAAGAATTTTGCAGGACTGACTCATAAAATTCTTATTGCACTCATACTGAAACATAAATATTCAGTAGTCCACTGTTTCTTCTTCATTTCTAGAGCTACTCTCACTAGTGGAATCTATTACTCTGACAGATCTTCAGACAAAATTTTTATTGTATGAAAACATGGATTAAATATTTTGCTTTTCAAGATACATTTAAATGATTTCTGAAACCATGGATACAGAAATTCATAGATAAATGGATTTCAGAAAGAATTGAGATACCCAAGGCAATTTAGAGAATCAAACAGAGGTAAAGGAATGGAAAAATTAAAAAATGGATCAATTAAGACTGCAAAAAAACACGGAAAACAACATATTAAGAAACTCAGCATAAAAATACTCAAAGTCTTAACAGCTTTCCTGTCTTTATTCTTAGAAAACTCATGTTTATTTTATTTATTTTTTTTTTTGAGAGCCTGTGTGCCTGGCTCGACTCTGATGTGTGCATTTGGGGGACTGTAAAAGTTTTAACAAAAATCCCTGTCATAATTCAAGCAGGACCAAATAAACTGACTGTCAATAAAAAAGCCCCCCCACCCCCTGGTTTGTTGAACACAATTGGGCACAAGCCTGAGCATTTAATCAGCATCTCATAGCCCTCAATCCCAGAAGCAAAAGCTCTTGAGAAAACACACTGAAAGCAAAGGCAGCAGGCACTGACCAGCACACAGACATGATTTGTTTTATGGCTGCTACAGTCATGGTGCTGCAGTAATGCAGAGGGTGGCAGATTGCACAAAACCCATCCATGGCAATGGAACAAAGATGGAAAATGGAAGCTGAACTGAGCATCAAGTCAAAACTGTAATGAACCTTGCAGAATATAATCCCAAAAACCCAGCACTTCTCTACAGACCTTACCATGCTGTAGGGCATAAGAGCAAAGCCCAGCAGAAGATCTGTTACAGCCATGGATAAGATGAGGAAGTTGGTTGGAGAATGGAGCTGCTTGAAATACAAGATGGAAATTATTATGGCCAGATTCCCAAAGACAGTGAGAATGAAGACTGCTGTTATGAATAAATACATTACCTCTCCTGTTCTTGCTGACCTAAAGTTCTCAAGACAGGATCTGTTTTCAAACCCAGAGCAATCAAATCCTTTGAGATATTTGGAGAAAGTATAATCAATCCTTTATTAGATTTTTCTTTTGGAAGTGTAGTTCCATCAGCAGATTTAATTTTCAATTAAATTAGTTCAATTCAGTTAATTAATTCAATTAAGTTTCCAAAATATTCCAAATCCTAATATGAGAATACAAGGTAAAGTAAGTCAAGAGCATGAACTCCATAACTAAATGAAATACAGTAATTCAGAGGCAAATTTTCTCTTGGTTTAAATAGGGACCAACTACAACCAATTATTCTTCTGAAATGGTACATGAAATTTAGTAACTGGAAGCTATTTTAAAATTAATTGCAAATAATATATAAAACAAAGCAGTTGAAAGTTGAAAACTTAATTATCTCTCAGATTAACTAAATTATATTAAAATATACATTTTATTTTGTATATGGAGCATTTTGTAAAATACGGTTCTTGTATTTTGTATATGTCATAATAATAGTAAATTTAAAGTGATAGAAGAAAAACATGCATTGACAAAGGAACCCCTCAAGTCACTTCAGTCCATAAATATTATATAGGATTTATATGTCCCTTAGAATAGCAGTATTTTTTCTATGGGAGAAATGTTATGTGAGCTGGTATACCTCAGCTTTCTTGAAGGCTTCAGTCAATGAACTACTCACCCAGATGCTCATCTTAAGAGTCACAAATCAGTTTCCAAACACCCACTTACCAAATTATTTATGCTGCTAAACTCACCAGCTGTGCCTCACAACGTACCAGCAATGAACCCATATGATGGAAATCAGTTGTAAAATTGGCATGATAAGCAAGATTCTTTTCTTTCCTTACATATAAACCTGTTTCCTATCATTATAATTCCACTGACTAAAAGGATGTTGAGGTTCACGTCCTGTGATAGATTGTGGTCCAGCTGCAGTAGTTATAAATGAATACACTAGTGAATAGTTTCAAGGGGAAAAGATTCCTTTCATTTTTTTGGGGAGAACCAGGGCCATTTCTTCTACCTCTTTTCCTGATAATTTGTTTTGGACAAAGAGCAAATTTAGAAACAGAAGCAGAAGAAAAAGCAGAAAAGCAGAAACTGCTCTTCTTCACAGCAGTTTAACCCACTTAAAATGAACATGGGAAGCAGCTCAGACCACTGTTCTTTTTTTTTCAATTGGTATCACCTATCACCTGGAATGAAGAAAATACTGAAATTGTGCATCAAAAGATTAAAAACAGATATGGGCAGACAGCTTTATGGGCTAGTCTTCCCTGTATCTCTTAATAATACCATACATGAACTCTTTAAGTAGATATTTTTTGTCTTGCTATTGTCCTGCAAAACTGCAATGTGGGTAACAGGCAGATCCTCTTTGTAACCTGGCTTGAATTAATGAAAGATGGGGATTTATTTTTCTTTTATGAAATTATACTTAATTCCCAGTAGATTTTGAGATAAATACATTTATGCAATGTAGGGGTTTACACCAATAGGAGATAGAGAAAACCAAGTGTAGGTATTCCCAACACCATTATGTTTGTTTGCTCTCTTTGTTATATATGTATAGGGGAAGTCTTTTGGTGGCTTAAGGTAGACAAAAAATGTTCCTCATTATTTTCATGTTGGGCTTAAATGTTGATTGAAGAGAGTTATTTGATTATTTATTACTAACTGCTTTTATTCCTCTGGGCCATCTTCACCAAAGCAACAACAGCAAAAGACAAACTCAAGTTTTCTCAAATAATTGTTTTCCCCTGTTGGTAACTGAGGAAGTTCAAAGGATATGGGATGCACTCTTTTTTCAGTGATCCCTCTCTAACTGACAGATGGCTTTTAGTCTGTACCCTATGAACAGCCAGTGTTTAAGGAAATTGACTTTTCCTATACCTATGGGAAATCAGAAGTCAAGACATCTAGGAGCAGACTGTGGAGTTCCCACTAAGTTACTTGTGGATCCAGTCTCTTAAGAAATAAATTTTTTTTACAAAGGCTGTTGTGTAATCATTTCATAGAAAAAATTTCAATTACCCATGCAGCTAGCTGGATTTAAAGTGTCAGCATGAAGGGGAAAAGATCCTATTAAAAAGCCTACAAAGTAGGAAATCAAATGTATCTGGTTATGCAAGACCGTGTAACATTGTGCAAGACTCAGTAACTATTATAGGAATTGAATTTCACAGAATCACAGAATTTTTGAGGTTGAAAGGGTACATTCTGCCCCATCATCCATCTCATTAATGAGGATATTGACCAGGATTGGCCCTAGTGTTAACCATTAGGGTACATCATTTCTTACTGGTCTTCAACTAAATTTCATGCCAATGATCAGCACCCTCTGGGTCTGGCCAGTTTCCAGTCCACCTCACTGTCTTCTCATCCAGCCCATACTTCATTACCTTCTTGTGAAACTCTTACCTTTGTCAGTGTTGAAAGCCCTCCTGAAGACTAGGTGGATAATAGCAACTGCTCTTCCTTTGTCTTCCAGACTTGTCATGCCACCAAAGAAATTAATAAAATTTAGTCTGTGTCTAGTGAAAACAAATTAGTCAAAAAGTGCTTATAGGTAGACATAGTCTTTTTCAGAATTAAGTCTTTAAGTGCAGTGTGTGAAAGTAGCATCCAAGACAATGAAGCTGATCAGAATATCTGCTGAAGTAGAGGAATTTAGTAGAACAGTGATTTCATCCAGTATTTTCTCCCTTGTTGAATGCATATTAATGCATCGTAGAGGTCAGAGAGTGCACAGTGTGCATTGCCTAGATGAGTTAACAAGATGAGTGAATGATTTAAGAAAACTCATATGCCTTGTAATATTTACACATTTTGACATCTCAGTTTTCCTGTTTGAACACAGCAATAATGGACTTTTTTATCTAGGAGTTTAAAATACTCCATTTTGGAACGACTCTTTCCTTTGTGAGGTTTCCGGAAGGGTCCTACTTGGGCAGCTGGTGCTCCTTCTCTTTTCCAGTCCTCCTGCCTCTGGTATCTGAGAGACCATGAGATTTGGACACAGGTGGCACCACCAAAATGTGAGGCACTAAGGCAGGATACAGGCAGCAGTTCAGGACTCCGAAGGTTGCTGTCAGTTTTGTATAAAGTGTGGGAAGAAGGTGACATTGCAAACGGTCCTCACTGGTGACAAAAGGGACAGACACAAGTCTACTGGTGAAACAGAGCTTTTCATCATGCTGGAGATACTGCTTTGCACAAGTTATCAGGTAAGTTAAAACATCTGAAATCACCCACAGGGGAATAATTTGTTCTGCAAAAGGTAGCCATCTGGGAAGTGTTTAACAAGGTCACTAATTAAATGCGTTGATAAGGAATTTGACAAATACCCTTTGCACTTAATTTGCATTATGACACTTTGAGATTACAGTAAAGTATATTCTGCTCCACTAGCCCCAGTTCATAATCTGATTGAACAAGAGCATGAGGGACTTTTCTTATGCTTTCCTAATTTATCTGTGTCTTGGGTTCAAATAGAGTCCCTGTGGCCTCATTAACACATCTCATTTGCACATCACCCTCACTGGCTGGGAAATAGCTTTATGCTGTCTGTGATTAGAGCTGAGAGGAAGTGAGCTGGGACTTCACTACTGTCACTGTGCTAGAGAAGACCATCTGTAAATAGAAGGCAAGGAGGCTTTTTGGGAAGGTGCCACCTTTAGGTAACAGGACACCAGAGGAAAAAGTTATTTCTGAAACTTTCTGAGTTGGGCCATGCACAAAGCTGGTTTATATTTTAGTTTATTAAGAACAAGGAGGACAGCCTTCTAGGTGTAGGTGAAGGTCACCAGCATCTGTATGTGGAAGCTCCTTCTTCTGCAGAGAATAAATATTGGTGACTCCTTGGCTAGACTGGCTTGCCCAGAGTGTTTTTCATCTGTGCACTGAAAATTTGTTTTACTATTTCCACTTACACTAAATTTATTATGGTGGTCTTATGCAGCCACAATGCTTGGATGCCCTCTCCACTGGTTTTGGCTGGGTTTTGGTTTTTCTTTATAGTAGTTTGTGTGGTGTGGTGTTTTGGACTTGTGATGAAAACAATGTAGATAACATACACACAATCCCCATTTAAGTTAAGACTGAGCAGTGCTTGCACAGTATTTTAAAGGCCTTCTCTTTGAGTAGCCTGGGGGTGCACAGCAGTTTGGGAGGGGACATCTGACCCCAGCTGACCAGAGAGATGCTCCACACCATATGATGTGCTCAGCAATAAAAACCTAGGGGGAAGAAGGAGGAGTTGCAGTGTTTTTTCCTTAAGTAACCATTACGCTTGGTGGAGCCCTGCTTTCCTTGAAATGTCTGAAGATCAGCTTTGCAGATGGGAAGTGGTGATTAATTCCTTGATTTGCTTTATTTGCATGTATGGCTTTTGTTCTACCTAATAGAGTGTCTTTTTCTGTATTTTTTCTTACTTCAGGATGGTGTCTCTGGTTTCCATGGGTTTATAGGAATTAGCTTTGCAGTAGGGTCCAGGCGCTGTCTGCAGGGACATGCTCTATTTGAATTACAGTCTGTCCTGCAAGCAAGTTGGGATCCTACTCATTCACAAATTCCTCCTGCAATCAGGAAACAATGCCTGAGGGATGCCACAATTTATGAAAATAAAATTACCAACTGTGAACTCTGGTAGAGCTGGAATTGTCTGGAAACACAGTAGTATTTCCAGATTTTCAGGGAGATAGGACTTTAAAGAATAAAGGAAATGAAAAAACTTCATTGACTTCCTGAGGGGACTACATTAATAGGTGCTGATCTTACTAAATATACTTCAAAATGCCTTAGATGGGTACTATCTGTCATAGAAGATCTATCTCTCATTCCATCTAAAATATGATCAGACAAAAGGAGGTATCACTTGGCAGCACTTCTGAAATCGTCACTTCAATTGAAATCAAACTGTCCAAGTGATCACACATTTTTATTTCAAAAAGCAACACTGAGGGTGAGAATTTTTACTACAGCAGGGCCAGACTCACTGGAGATGAAGGAAGAAAATAATTACTCATTATTTATCAGAAAGAAATTTTGAAAAATTTTACCTTGCTTTATTTTTGTAAGTGTTAAAGTAGTCATGTTGATATTAGCAAGGATCCACAGTAGAAGTGCCAATGTGGTGTATGTTTCATTGTTCCTTTTTATGTCATTTTTAGAAGGGCAAATTTTACAAAATGGCAATGGAACAGTAAAATACAGAATTTCAGATCCTGATACTTTGCCCTGCTGAAATGTATCATCATTCAAATTTTAAGCTTTTCAGCACAGAGTGTTTCAGTGCTCTACAAAGCACAGGAAACAAAGACAAGATACAGATATGATGCACTTTTACAAGGAACACGAAGGGAGGACAGACTGCTGAGTATCACTCTTACTTTAGTACAGTCATCAATTTCTCTCCATGGTCTCTCCTCAGATACTGATCATTTCCTGCCCATGCCCAGTACTGTTCCTTCATAATCCAGCTGAGTTCAACCACAAGATTTCTTCACAATTATCCATGTGCTTTCCTTAAAAGCTCTTACAGCATTTCCAGGAGACAAAATAACAATATGTCAAAGCTAAGAAAAAAGTTCTCTAAGATGGAAAGTAGAAAATCTTTTACATCTGAACACCCATTAGATAGACATAATTTTCTGGCATTGTAAGGTGCAATGCAGTTTTTTTTGCAATTGTTTTTCACTTCATACTTCATATTTTGTCTTGTCTTTGATCTTGTTAAACATGTTTTTGATCTCATTAAGTAGCAAAGCTTTTAAGTGACAAACTCATAAGTGACATGTCCTAGTTGAAATCGAAGCAGAAAGAGCAGCACAGCCTTTCTCTGCCTCCCCTTCCCTCCATGCAGTGTGTTGGTATGGCTGGTCATTGGCCTGTTTTGAGGTCTGCACACATATGAAAAGGGAAGGACAAAACTTAGAGAGCTTTGGGTTATTAGCCAAAGATGCCAAGAAATCCAAAGGAAAATATTTTTCTGCTCTTTCTAGAGGAGAACACAAGGAAAACCAATATTGTAAAATACAAACACACCTTATTCAAGAAATTAATCTGTTGTGTCAGAATATTTTTTTAATTACGAAGATCAGGGATATAAACTGCTGTAAGTTTTTTAAAACGGAAGTCTTACTCTGTCTGTGCATTGCAAATAAATAGATACAATCAAAACACAACATGCAAAACCCAATCTGGAATGAAAGAATACATGAAGCGCAATGGTTGCTTAACGGCTTGAACTACATTTGGTAAATAGGCAAACAAATAGGTGTTTCCTTCCTTCACAGCTCTTACATCTGGGAGTTCAGCCTCCAGGCAAAAGTTCAAAGCCATGAATACAACCATTTAAAGCACGTTAGTCTGAAAACAAATGAGTCCTGGAAGAGTCCTGTTGAAAAACTTTTCCAAACAGAATAATTTTCAATGCCCTGCGAAACCACATGTAAAAAAATGCATAAACAATTGGGTTAAATGTAGAATTTAAATAGCCAAACCAAACCAAAGCATCAATGAGAACAGGAGGTATCACGTAATTCATAAACGGATTGGTAGCTGTAAAGAAGAAGAATGGAGTCCAGCAGATGAGAAACACTCCCATTATTATGCCTAAAGTCTTAGCAGCTTTCCTTTCTCTGCAGAATGAAATGTGCTGCTTCATTTCAAATTGCATTTTTTTTCTGCTAATTGCATCGATGGATCTTGCCTGCTTCTTGGCTACAGAGTACATGATCATAAATCTTTTCTGCCCCTCTCAAGTTTAGGTCTAGAAAGATCATCCCAAAAGCAAAAGCAGCAGGGACCATCCAGCTTATACACACCATGACCACAATGACGAAAGTATTTATCTTTGATTTGTATCTTAAAGGGTCACACACGGCATAGTAGCGGTCGATGGATATGAAGGAAAGATGGAAGATAGAAGCTGTGCTCAGCATAATGTCCATGCTCGTGTGGATCTTGCAGAAGAACTCCCCAAAATACCAGCAGTGCTCAACAGAGCGCACCATGCTGCAGGGCATGATGAAGAATCCCAGCAGGAAGTCTACGGTGGCCATTGAAAGGATGAGGAAATTTGTAGGCGTGTGGAGCTGCTTGAAATGTGATATTGAGATGATAACAGTCAAATTTCCGACCACTGTGGCCAAAATAATGCAAGCCATGAAGATGTACATGGAAATACGGATACTGTTTGACCAGCTGCTCCTTATGCAAGAGCCATTTACGGATTCACAGCCCAGTTGCATCCTTATTGGGGTCTCAAATCCACGTAGGTATGCAGCACAGGTACTGGTTTTTCTAATTCTGAGGTACATTTACGACTGTTTTTCCATTTTCTAGATGGGAAGAGCTGCAGAGAGGAAAATAAAAGGGCATTGTAAACACCTTAAGTTGTCTGGATGTGTAGGATGTGTAGCACATTCACATTTAAGAAGGATGAAAGTATTTTGTAATCACATTTAGCAGAATGACACTTTTATCATCTAACTTCCCTGGAAATGAGAACCTTCTTTGACAAAATAAACTCCATAATGGGGTGCACTCGCACCAGGACAGCAGTGACCCTGAGAGGCCTGCACTGGGCAGTGCCTTTTCCAGTGGGCAGATGAGAAGCCCTTTTCAATATTTCCTGTTTCTGTTTTCAGTCCTAGTCTTCTTCATCAATATTGGCCAAAGTCCTGCATCTCCACTTTGCTCTTGAAAATCGGTAATTTTGAATTCTGAAGGTCCCTCAACTTCTTTTTGAATGCATAAGTCTAAAACCTACAAGTCTAAAGTGAAGGCTACAGCTGAGAAGTCCATGTGTGACCTCCCCTCCAGCCCTGTCCTGATAGTGATGACTGGACAGATCAAGTGTTACTGGAAAATCCTTGCAGGCTCTTGCTGTAAATAGAGATGCAAGGGAGAGATCCAAGAGAATAAAAAAAAAATTTTCTGCCCTTTTGCTGACAAAATAAAATGGAATAATATGACTAATCTGAAACATTATCTGCTGTACAAGCAATTTTTTTTTTTTCTGTTGAGCTCTATTTTTTTTCAGTGCTAGTAGTTTAGCATTACTGTGAGAATTGATTATATTAATCTGTTTTTTAGCTAAAGCACAAACATGGAGAGAAACATTTTCAGAACACAGGTTTAGTTTACATCTAAGGACAAAAATATCCTTGTCCTCATGTGTAGGCAGTAGCATGTCCCTTTTGCAAGTCACTCTTTTTATGAAAACTTTTAAGGAAAGTACTTAAGCACTTGGCAAGCAATATTTATTTTGGAAAAATCTGTTTTTCTTTTAAACAACAGAAAGATAGTGTTATTGTGAAAAACAGAGATCATTAGCATATGTTGTTCAGTAGCACTATCATTATGGTATAAAATGGCTGTCAGAAAAATACTGACATGGCAATTCAGCCAGTACTGATTTAAACCACCTGCTTTGGGATTTAGTTGCCTTTGGTTATTCTGGATAGAACACAAAAAAAAAATTCTTTCCCATATGAAACCAAATGTTACTACAAGCACACTGGAAGCTGAATGAACATAAACAAAAATCTACAGCTAGCAAAACCTTGACAGCTACAACTAGCAAACAGCCTGTGATATACAGGAGGATTTTGCAAGTAGGGCCGGGCAGTAGCACCCAAGTGCCAGCACTTCAAACCAAAGGTTCACCCAAAGGCACTGTCAGGAGTGGGGGACACATGGAGTCTATTTATGTACTGTTTGGGGTGCTTTTCACTTCCCCTTTTTTCTGCCTACTAATACTTAACACCATCTCTAGTATTTTTCACCTCATTTCAATTATCACTTCGTATACCTTTTCCTTCCGTTTTTGTCAGCCTCTTCATATTTATTTTCGTGCCTGTCATTCCTTCTTTCAGCACATTTACACCCAAGGTAGAGAAAGCACAGCAAGATGAGTATTTATTAACCCAAATTTTCAATTTTCAATTTTCAATTTTCAATTTTCAATTTTCACAGTAGAAAGAATTAAACATCAATTTAACTGTTTCTACTAGGCATCATTAAAAAGGTTTTAAGCCTGTTAAGACTGTAAATATGTCACATAGATTTTGAACTTCATTTGTTCTGTATAAAAATATAAATAAATTAAACAATTGTGGTAAAACAGTCTATGAAGCCAATCAAAAAGGATTAACATGCTATCTTTAGTTTTCCTTAATATTTTAAAGATTAATAACTTCTCTGTTGTTTTCTGATAGATAAACTGTTTAGCTATCTGATAGATAAACTGTTTTAATTATTAAAGAAATATGATCTGCCCTGAAAACAGGTTTTCTTAAAAAAGAAAAAACGGGGAATTTTTTTATTTTTTATTTTTTAATAAAAATAAGTAGAAACCCAAACCAAAGGATGAAGAAAACTGAGATCAAGTGCATGGTTTTGCATTACATTGAAATTAAATAAATCAAAGCAAATGTGGAAAACTGTTCAAGTGAGCTGAACTCTGAAGAAGTTTTCAAGAAGAAAGAAGAATGATTTCCTTCCATGTATAGTTACAAAGGTTAAAATGTAATAAAATGAAAATATTAAGAAGCATACTCTTAAAAACCTCTTTTTTTACCTTTGTCACTTCATGCTGGGTAGAAGTCTGCTCTTGGCACTCATTTGTTTTCTGCTGGTTGAATGACACTTCTTCCTTTTAAAGACGATCTCAAAAGGCTGCTGATCCTCTTCAGCACCATTACAGCTCTGGGCAACACAAATTTTGAGAGAAGAGATTTTTAATCCACAGCTGGAGGAGCCTCCACAAACCCCTGTGTATTACGGGGGAATGCTGGTGTGCTGAACAGATTCTGGGCTGTTTGACTCAATAGCAGCTGTTGATGTGAATAGTAGCTTGGACTGTTTATTTTATCACACTTGTAGAGAACAAAATCATGGCTCATATTTGTTTAATGGACCTTATTTATAGGTGAATTGAATTGATTTGAAGGAAATTCACTTGTTCGATTAAATGTTGCGGCCCAGTATTATCTAAGCAAAGAACAAAAGACACCATGTAGTCTACCTCCTGTAAGCTTTTAAAATACAGCAAAATACATAAGTATAGCTTGGTTACAGCAGCATGTAAGATTTCCTTGAAAAGGTATAATGTAGACAGAATGACACATTGTGTATTTACCAGCCTAGTTATGATTACTGAGCAAACAGATTTAATCTAGAAGATCACCAGTTAACAGCTATTTGCAAGATACAACTGTTGCAAAAGTGTTTTAAGTAAACACCTATTATTGGCTGTACCAGAGTCATGGATGAGGAGCATCAATTTTTTGCTCCACAAAGGACCATGCAGCCTTTTAAAATGGTGATACTGCTGAATGTAAAAGAGCATTATTGTGATGATGACCATCATGGCTAAAGCCCAGCTAAGATGGGTGCCTCAAAGGCATATGTGACAAATTGGGTTAAGATAATACTTCTTGCAAAGGATGACCTGGGTTAGCCAATTTACTATGTTATGTGTACAAAAATCAAAATGGGTGCATACAACTCAGTTCTTTAATTTTTTTTTGGCGGCTGCTCTCACAGACAGGCTGGGGTTTTGCACAACAACTTTTCTTTGCTATAGTAAGACAGTTAGAGCCAGGCACTTCTCTGTGAGGAGTGAAGGTTTAGACCTTGGAAATTACTGTCTTGACACGTATACATTTTATAGGAAGGTAAAATTTAGGGGAACAAACCCATGTTGCATTACTCTGCACAACTCGTTGTTACACAGAAGTCTGGCAGGCAGCTCATTTTGGGCACTCAGTCCAAGGCCACCCAGGCATGCATGCAGTGCTCTCCCACCACGCTCCATCCTCTCTCCCTTGAGTAACACAGGGCCAAAACTCAAGGGCATTTTCTGGAATGGCAGCTCTGCTTCAAGTGTTTGTTCCAGAGGCACCAACTTGCAAACCTCTGGGGGAACCCCTGGGGCTGGGAAGCCTTCCCCTGCCCTGAGCAGGTCTGCCCTGCTGCAGAGGGACAGGCAGCAGCCAGCCATGGAGTGTGGGTTTTGCTTTGCCTCCTCTTGTGCCCAGGCTGTGCATCTGGTCAGGGAGTGCTTCCCTCCATCTCCTGGCTTGCAATAAAATTGTGCTGCAAGACCCACACACATTGGAACAGAGTGAGACACAGGTCTAGGGGGAGATGTAAGCATGGGAATGATGGTATTTAACAGTGTGTTGGCTGAAAGTAAAGCAGGAGGTTTTGATAGATTAATTAAATAATTAAGCAGGCCAAATTGTCAACTAATTTAGAGTAAGAAAGAGCACTGTGGTAGCAAGCTTTCACTCTGTTGGTGCAGATGCTTCAAACAGGCATTTTCTTGTGCCTTCATGCTGATGTGGATCATGAGAATATTCTCAGACTCTCTTCTTAAAATATCAAAGAGAAACATGTTTTTTCTGAGAACTCAAAGCACTCATAAACTGTCAGTGTTTAGCAGTCTTTTGAATCTGTAGAATATTAAAGCAGTTATATGTCAAAATTTAAAGTAAAAATGTTTCTACAAAATTGTTGCCATGGCTTTTTTTTCTAAAAAAAAAAATAGATTTCTGCAGTAAGTCGCTTTCAGAGTTTTGGAAAACCAAGAAAGAGAGACATCACAATGTCTAGAGTACTGTGGGTCATCTACTCTCCTTGTTTGTTTGTCTTTAATACATAAAGTAATTTAAATGGAAAACAGCACAGGAGGGAATGGAAATATCACTTTTTTCAGACACCAAACCTATTTGAAAAATGTGTTGAAAAGTTATCATGTCCTTCTTACACAAAACTGTGTAAGGGACACTGGAAATGGGAAAGAACAGAAAAACACTTGAGAATGAGAACTTTTACTGTGAGAAAAAAGTCAGGAAAGCACTGGTTTCTACTGTGGTACATTTAGCTTACACTTCTCTGGGTACTGTTTGGTCAATCAACAGAAAGTTTCTCATTTTCACACAGTTCACTTTAAAAACCATTTCTCTGTTAGGGGAACCATGGATTTATAAATGCTGGAGGCTGTAAGGTGACCCTATGGCTGAAGAGGAGTTTTGAAAGTAAAAAAAAAAAAAAAAAAAAAAGAAAAGGAGCACAATATTAAAAAGAAAAAAAAAATCTTCCTAAATTTCCATTCATATGCTTGAAATCTAGGGGGAAATGTCCAAGTTCCCAACAAGCTATTAGTACAAAATAATTATTTGTTTATAGGGGTTTAACAAGAAGGTCTGGCAACTACCAATCTGAATGCTACTTCTGCAAACCTGGTACAATTCCACTGAAGACTGTCTGAAATTAGCCCAGATTTGTACCAGAGGAATTTGGAGAATAGATGAGATGACTGAGCTGTAGACCTTTTCCCATGGTTTCTATTCTTAGTTTTGAGTGAAAGACATTTCTTTTCATTGCCAAGTAAAGCCAGCTGTTTATACAGAGTAATGAAATGTTTGTGCTCTTTCTGCAAGTATAATCCTTAGGATAAGGACTATAAATCCAAACTCCAATGAACATGCAAATCTCTGAAATATACAGAGGGGTAAGAAATTCCAAGAAAATAATGTTTTAATAGCAAAGCAAAACACATCCACCCAAAGCCAAGAAACTATCTCAGCAAGGGGTGAGGGATTCTACGATATTTGGTAGGCTCAGTAAGCAATGCCATAACAGAGTCCATTGCCTTCACTCTGCAGCAAAAGCTTCTCTCAGGGCTCCCGAGGGCAGCAGCAGCCCCTTGCCTCTCACTCCAGCAGGTCAAGTGAATCCTTGCAGCCACAGCACAGAGGCACAGCGGGGCAGGTCGCTTGTGCCTTGCCAGTGCTTCTCAGCACCCATCAATCCAACAGGAGCAAACTGTGCTTACTGACTCTAACTGCTTTGTTGATATTTGCTGGCCCCTGAACAACACCTCCAAAAAGAAGGCAAACACAGAGGAGAGAGGCGCTGAAGAGTGAAAAGATCCCATTCTGCATCCTTATGGCCCTCTAATAACTTCACAGAAAGGAAAGAACCTTACTCTGAGTTCACAGCTATCTGCGAAAAGAGCTTTGCCCCCTAACTATGTTTCTCTTTCAGCCACTGGGAATGAATGGCTTTTTAAATCACACTTTAAATCATACTTACTGCTGTTGATGCTATTGCTGTTTACTACAGAAAGAACAGTGCAGAACAACAGCTTTTATCTTCAGTGCTAACCGTAGGAGATTCATCTTTGTAAGAAAATTATATCCCAGACCGGCATATGAGCAGCTCACCATATTCCGGACTGCATGTCTCGGGGATGATACGGCACAGGAGTCACTTCCTCATCAGCAGCCGGCACAGGCTGCAGATACAGCATAGCACTGACTCATTCCACACCAATTCTCCCAGCTAAGTGGCTGCATGCTTGGTCTGACTGGTCCACAGCCTGCTGGGAAAATCTCATCAACTGGATGACGTAAATCTTAAATATCCAGAAAAGATAAACATGCAATAAATCTATTCTGACACAAGCCACTAGCATATGCAAAGATGAATCAACTTGAAGTAAGATAAAGCCAGGCTTCTTTCATGAAAAGAAGTATGCAAAGTGAAGGAAATATTTGTTATGGTCAAAGAACAGACAAAGCTAAAAGCACCAAACTGTTTTGAAGATTGCCCAATATTTCACTTCCTCCTTTCAGTTTTGTTTAATGTTGACAAACCTTAACACTTTCAGTTATCTTTAAAAATTTGATTTGCCTATCTCAGGCTGGATATTTTCCAAAAACTCTAAGCACAATACTTTGACAGTATCAGACAAGAAAACTGATTAAAAGCCATTGCTTCCTTCTAATGAAAAATTTTGCTAGCTGTTTATTTATGATGCTCAGGTATTTATATGATATGCTTTGGAGCAGGGACTTAAGAGCTGTTGCTTTCTTATTGATATACTTTTACCATACCAGAGAACTATACCTGCAGCTCATTGACAGCATCCCTCATCTTCAAACAATAGTTTGAGTATTGCTGTGGAACTCAAGAAGGATCATCCTTCCAGGAAAACGTAACCCCAGAGAAAAGAGTTGACCCACTTTGTGTCAGTTTGTGTGTGCCACTTGGTGGGCTGCATAGGTGGAGAGCCAGGCCTTTCAGCTCCTGCTCCCCAGAGGTTTCTCTGAGCCTGCAGTGGGACCTGTGAGGCTCAGGCTACAACTTCTCCCCTGGGTTTTGGGGTTGGGATAAGCTTAGGACATAGGAAAGTACGGCACTGGCAAAGTGGAAGAAAGGACTTAAGGCTGAACTCAGCAGGACAGCTCATGGTGAAATGAAAGTCTTGAAATGTCACATTGTGGTCTAGAAGTGTGACTACTCTACTGGAAACCACTGAGAGCTAAAATTGCTAATAAAGACTTATGTGTCAATAAATTATGTCCTCTAGCTTGCCTTCTCACAAACTGTTCCCTGTTCCTTTCACAAATGCTGGATTTGACTACAGTAGACACATGCTATTTTCCCAGAAATATTGAATCTGACTGTTTCTAGTAGTCCATTTGCAAGCCCAATAGGCTGCAGATGCCAGTGCTAATGCACTGTGGGCCATTTTTCAGGGGGAAACCTGCCCTCTTTTGCTTCTGCAGTCATTTCTTGCTGCAGGAAGCAGCGATGCTGTGCACGAACATCAGTGGTACCACAGCACTGCAGAAACAGCAACACAACTAGTGCAGAAATTACCAGTGCCAGAGGCTGTATCCTTTCTTGCTGACCCTCTGCTCAGGAAGCCATGCCCGGGCAGCCCATTTTTTTTTTCACCAGAAAAGCTTTATTTATCTTGCCAGTAGGTGCTGTATATCAATTGCTTATCAGGTCACTGAAGAAGAGGTAAGGGTGCACTGAAGTTGATTTGAACTTGATTTATGAATTGTTATTGGGTTCTCACTGACTAGGTAGCTCCTGCCAATACCCATAACACTGAGAGGAAACAGATGGCAACAGGAGGTTCAGATGTTTAAATGTTCCCCTACCAACTTGCATAACTTTTTGTTCATGCAGGTGAGGACTAGGGAAGAGAAAGCATCTCTCTTCTCCTCTCTCCCTTTTTTACCCCCTGTAGTCAATTTTGTTCTTGTCTGCAATTGTTATCAATTCTCTCTTCCATTTGCAAATGTTTGTAAGTCATCAAGATCTAATGATGAGCCTTGGCCAGAGAGAAATACAGGTCACATCCTTGGTGACAGAAGGGACAACGATCTATAAGAAAAGGCTCAGCAGGAAACAACTGACTTTGTAATAATCCCTTGGAAAAATACAGGAGTGGTTACATTAAGTCTTACACAATCCTCAGGTACAAGAGGTTTCTGTTTTTGATTAGTCTAATGCTGAATTTGGAAGAATTCCTCCAAACAGAGGTTAATGTTAACATGAATAAACAACTAAAAGGCCTAATGTAGCATTAAAGACAGTCTCATAAACTCTTCAACAAACAAATGTTTAAGCCTGTTGCTAGGTAATGATGATTGATTAAACTTAAGCTTTTATGTATACACAATCTTCATACATACAGCCATTTGATACTCCTAAGATACAGCTAATTGACACTAGTTATAAAAAGACTACATGTATTATTTTACTCACACCTGCCAAAAGCTTTTTGTCTTTCAGTAGCTACCAGGAAGTACCTCATTATCTATTAATGGCCATGTTTTCAGAGCTTGCTCTTCCCTCCTGTATCTCAGTGTGAGATATACTTGATTTCTTCTTAGGCAAGAATAATTCTTCTCTTTTAAAAAAGTGTTCCCATGAATTAATTACAATGTGTTTTCACCATTTGTTTATGGTAGCGATTGCAGCCAGCTTGGCATAAGAACATCTCTGAGAAAATTGGAGAAGGCAATCACAAAATAAGAAGGGGATGGGAAAAAAATAAAGGCTTGTACATATTTTTGATCAATTTTTGTACACTTTGTCAGCTGGGTGACAAAGTACTGGGAATTTCAAGGATCAGTGCACCTAACCTTTGTCAGGATGGGAGTTATATCGGTCACTATCTCTGAACTCCTCAGGTCAGAGTTAAGGACTTCCAACCACAACAAAACGCAGTCAGGTTGTGTGAGACTCTCCCTGCTTTGTATACCCCTTCCTAATCTTGCATCCCAACACTATCACAGCTCCCAGACTATGAGGTCATCAATTAACTTTAACAGTAGAAGCAGCAAATGAAGATGAATAGACAAAGTTAAAATCATCCAGTTACAATGCATTTCCTACATTGTACATATTTGTAGTAGAAATTCCCTGCTGTCATGAGAATATCTGAACAGAAAATGAATTATTTCCCTTGAAACTTTGTAGTAATGAGTTACAAGAAACATTTTAATACTTTCACAGCTGCTAATTATTTTTTTACAGACTGAAAGAGAAAATAACATAGTGCTATCAGTATGCAAACTTTCTGTTTCACCAATCAGCTGTGTCTGATCCACAGGTAGACTACACTTGGTAATGCTGTCAGGCTCATCTGTGGCTTCAGTCAGAGGTGCTGTTTGTCTACAGTATTAAAAGTTAATTTTTAGAAGGTGTACTATAACTACTTCTCTTTTGGGGTTCTATGACATCTCATGGTCCATCACAAGCCACAGAGAAGCATTCCTGTATTAGCTGTGGTAAATATTATCATAACTGCTGCTCTCTTTATTAACCTACGCAAGTTATTTTGCTTTTTCAACTTTGTTGCCCTGATGGTGGACAGTGGCATTGCAAACACTGTCTGGATGAAGTGGGGTTATAATTCAATTGTTGGTTAATTAGAAATTCTGCAGTTCAAACTCAGGTCATTGTCATTCTGTCTGTCACTCACTACACCTGCACTGATTCAATGTACCTAGGAACGGTGTCCTGTACTATCAGTAATTCACCCATAACATGAGATTTTCATAAACACTTAGCTTTGAATTACTTGGTCTAAAAGTCACATGGCCTCTGATTGTGCCTCATTTAATGCATAGCTTGAGGTCATGATGACTTAAATATATGTGCAAGGACATGGCTGAAGAGTCCTCTCTTTAAAACTCCAGATTATTAAGAATTTGTTTCTCTATTTTTTCCCAAGGCCTCCCTATATTAATTCAACATGTAAAATAAAGTATTCAATAAAATAAGATACATTCAATTTTACTCAAAGCTTCCCCAAAATTGTTACCAGTTTTACTTAAGTTAGCTGCAAAATTTGGATCTTATTTGTTTAAATGGAATATTTCTCTAACTTCATCTGAAGTCTTGCAACAATAAAACCTATTATGAATTTGTTTTTCTTTCTGTGTGGTTAGAAACACTGTGGACAGGTGGGTCTTGTTTGCTTTGGCCAGCATCAAGGTGTAAGGAAGAAATATTGATATATGAAGAGCATGCTTTTCCAGCTCAGAGAGGAATGGGTCTCATTATGATACCATCTGTAGCAGCTTTTGGGGTGGGGTCATTGATGTGAATTACTTATAAATTAATTTGACATTTCTACTCTGGCACATCTGTCCTGGAGTCAGTTAATAATGCTGTTGTTAAAGACAAATGCCATTTGTTGCATCAGGCATTCATTACCTCTCTGCTTCTCTATTCTGAATGCTTCTGTAATTTGCATCATTTGAAATTTCCTTTTATTACATAACCTCATATTTTGTTAACTGAACTTTGTCTATTCACTTGTGAGCACCAGTCACTCAGGTGAAGATCTGGTTGGTTTCTCCAACCCCTTCAGGGAATCCTCTCCCAAAAGTGGGGTTCATGGTTCTTGTGTATTGAAATGATGGAGCTATTCTGCAACAGTCCATGCAACTTCATCCTCTGCTTGTCCAGAATCTTTCTTTGGCATCAGAAATGGGAAAGGGCTTAATAAACTCCTCAGTGGTTTGTTGTATGAAACCCTTGGAACCCTCTCAGGGAGAGAAAAGTTGTGCAGCACATCTCAAAAACTGCAGGTCAGTCGTTCTTCAGTGTAATTTTAGTGTAATTTTCAAAGAATCCTGGACTTATTGCACTGCTAATGGATGAGATACGAGAGTCCTTTCCTGATATCTTATATTTAACTAGCAATATTAATTGTATCCTATCTGTGTCCAACTCTGACAACTCGAGACAGTCAGTTCTGCACGTACCTGGGAAGTACCCAGAACTTCAGAAATGTCAGCAAGCAATGTGTGAGAGATTTTTGTGTTCTGTTGTGAGGTGCTGAACAAGGAACCAGCAAGCACGACTTAGAATCCCTGTCTGTTCCAAGAAACTGCTCACAAGTGGTACAGTTCTCCCACTGAGTGCAAGTTCAGCGGTTTTATTTCCAGGATGGAAAAAACTCCCAGAAGGAGCCCCTTAAGTTGCTCACTGAGAAGCTGCAGAACGGGGGGAAATCAGGAATCATGTGATTCCAACAACTTCTGGATAACATACATAGG